ATCGTCTTTTATAACATCTCCTCGTCTTCTTTACGCCATACATTAAAAAAAGAGCGCAATGAAAACATGCATATTTATGGGAGCTTCTTTCAGGCAAATCTTCGGGAGAGAGGGGGGAGACAAAATAGGATAAAAATATACAATTTATACAGAAAATACATACTTTATTCAGTGTACCCCCCCCCCCCCCCACCTTTCCAACCACTGAGAGAGAAAAAAAATGTTTGAAAGAAACACTTGATTCAGGGGCGCGCGTAGGATAATATTTATTTATATTAACGCCCTTTTTATTTTATTTCGAATTTATTTTTTATTTTGCATGAGGGCTTTAGTTGGAACCCCCCCCCCCCCCACAACACCCCTCCCCGCCCCCAACTGACCCAAAGTGTGGGTAATTTTTTTTTTTTTAACTGTGAGAGAGTATTAAACTTGTAATCTCCTCACAAGGCTAAGACATTGAACCGGTAAATGCTAATTCGATACTCGACCACATTCGATTTAGTCTTCACTCTAGCCAAGGTCACAGAAATGGCTGAACTCTATTTCATCAGGACTACAATAGTAAATTAACTATTAACTCTACTCCCACCTCAGGTTCATGAATAAAATGACTAATCCGAGTCATTGCCCGGTAGTGCCATGACAGAATGAAACGCCTCTTCTACTTCGCGGAAGATTCAAAACTACGGACGTCTTCCAGAGACTACCTCTGCCAAATCGTCTGACGGCCACATTAGAACCGCAGGAAATGACGTCACAAACCGGATATTTGAGAAGTGGCCATTATTTCCGTGGTTACTTCCGCATTCCATTTGTCCACTAGCATCTTATCGATACTGTGGTGGGGGCGGGGTAGATGGGGTGGGACATGGGGGTAGTAGGGGTTGAGGGGTGTAGAGTCCGAATGTGGTAACGGGGGTAGAAGTTGGTTGAGGCGGGGTGGAGCGTGGTGGAGTAGAGCGGAGCTAAAATTGAGGGTTTTCACTGAGTACATTCAGTTCCATAAATTGCTTTGTTGATACAAATATGTTGACAACGCTGGTACATTTAAATTGCTGAGTATGTTGTTGATGTCCATTACTTGAGTCAGAGATCTAAAATTAAACGCAATAAAACCAAGCAGATTTTTATATTTTTTATGCTTTGTTTTTACGAATGTAAATAACGATTTTTGATTTTGATCAAAAATTTATTTTATACAAAAATCTACGTTGTTTATGAATGGTGAGCATTTGCGTGATTTTTACGTCACATTCACTTTTTCAAATGAATTTTTTTTTAAATAACCAACTGATTTTATTATTTATTTATTTTTGTTCTTTTATTTATTTATTTTTTTTAAATTTTGTTGTATACGTCAGCTTTTCTTTCGTAATTAATGAATATGTAGTGAATATACTTTTACCAGTTTCCTCCCCACGAAAAATTTTGACCACCCCCCCCCCCCCCCCCGAAAATATCGAGTTCCCTTCCCCCCCCCCCCCCCCCCACCTCCACTCCACCCCCACCATCCCCCCTCCCCGGAGAAAAAAGTCTGGACGAAACACTGTTACCAACTGCTGCAGTTTCTTTAATCATCCATGTACATGTATTGTTTATTTTTTCGAAAGTCGAATATTTCTTTAGTTTAGCGATTTATTCACTTCAAACTACTCTAAAGCACCAAGCTTTGCGATGGTGATTGGCAAATGTTACTGTGGATACCAATCAAATCATAAATAGGCGGTGAGAGTTACTGTGCATTTGAATGATATGCATAGTTATAGCACCACTCTCAATAGTTCTAATTTATCATAGCTGTAGTAACAATTTTAAATAACACAAATTGCTAACAGTACCCATTATAAACAGCACCAATAACTCCAATTATAATAACTATTTATAATAGCCTTTTATATTACTCATTTAAGATAGCAATTCATAATAGCCACTGAGTAAAGTATTGTTAGTCCTATTTTCGAACCTGACGTTACATGGAGCAAGTGAAGTAAAGTTCACCTGTTTCTTTAACCTCGGCCTATGAAGGTCAGCACTCTGCCCAGCCACCTTTGCTATCCCTATCGTGACAGGTACCCATCAGAGATGGTGTACTCCGGTACGCTCTACTGACTTGAACCCGGATTCGAACTCGAGACTACAGGTTTGCAGTCTATCGCTCTAACGCTTGGCCACACCGTTCTTATCATCACCATTGAGACGACCTAATTAGTGCTCCATCTTTCAAATGATGTGTTCCTTGTGTATGTGACGTCCGAGAAGGTCATTGACACCGGGACCTGATCTCGCCATTATCACAGGGACCGGTATCAGTGGGGCTCCAGCCTAGAATATCTATTACACCAATTAGTTGGGCTCAGTGGTTCTCAAAAATATGCCTCAATGGACCCCACAATGTGGCATTAATATATTTTTTTACTTTTCATTTTTATATTTAATGTTTAAATTTTTATTTCCAAGCGGAAGACTAACAATTTTGCGATATATATATATATATATATATATATATATATATATATATATATATATATATATATATATATATATATATATATATATATATATATATATATATATACATATATATATATCCATACATCAATGGGTTAACGATTACTCGGAAGCAATTTGCGCGGACGAAATGTGTGCACAAAAAAAATGAAGTTTTGAATTCATTAAAGATCGTATTGTCTTATGCAAGAAACAATAAGTTATTGTAATTTGATATAGAGACGCTTGCTAGGTAATAACCTTTCAAGATTTTTCAAAGTAAGAGATTCAATTTATTCAAAACTTCAACTTGGATCGGCTTTTTGATTACGCTGTGTAATTCTTTTAATTAGTCGTTGATTTTTTTAACATCTAAACTTCAATAAATAGAGAGCAAATTCAATTAAACTTGGATCCAAAAATTTTAACTGGGGGCAGAGGCGTAGCCACCCTTTCCGACCCCAGGGGACAAACTTTCAATTTGGCGCCCCCCGGGGAGCAACCTTTCGATTTTTTTATTTGCACCCCGCCCCCAAACTTTCGATTTGCACCCCTACCCTCAAGCTTTCCATATGCATCCCCCCCCCCCCCCCCGCCCATATATTTTTTTATATTCATAATGCAAAAATGCAGCTAAAATGATATTTTAATTTGTTTTTCTAACCCATTTTGGCGCCTCTAAGATCACCGCCCGGGGACATATGTACCCCCCCGCCCCCCGTCACTACGCCTCTGACTGGGTAAATTTATGTGAAATGGGGAGTGGGAACGATAGGTGGATTTAGGTTTTGGGGCATTGAATAATAGTGATAATATAAATAATAATAAAAATAATTAGTATACATTTATTTTAAATAATAGAAACATTATTGCACATAGGTCTAATGCAAATATTTAGAAACCTTTGTTAAAAATTTACGAGAATTTTAAACAAAACACACAGCGAACGTATGTGTGTGTGTGAGTGTGTGTGTATGTGCTTGCGAGTCTGTGTACATATATATATATATATGTGTGTGTGCGTGCGTGTGTGTGCGTGTGTGTGAGTGAGTGTGTGTGCGTTAGTTGCGGGCTAAGGATGTACAAGTCAAGATTGGCTGTGTGGAACTAGGTCATGCTGTAGAGCTTGACATACTTGCTACGTCAGTGGTTGTAGGGACACCATGGTCTAGTGGTCAAATCAAAATATGGTAAGTCTTTTATATTACCTACTTGTATTGACATACTTGCTACGTCAGTGGTTGTAAGGACACCATGGTCTAGTGGTCAAATCAAAATATGGTAAGTCTTTTATATTACCTACTTGTATTGACATACTTGCTACGTCAGTGGTTGTAGGGACACCATGGTCTAGTGGTCAAATCAAAATATGGTAAGTCTTTTATATTACCTACTTGTATTGACATACTTGCTACGTCAGTGGTTGTAGGGACACCATGGTCTAGTGGTCAAATCAAAATATGGTAAGTCTTTTATATTACCTACTTGTATTGACATACTTGCTACGTCAGTGGTTGTAGGGACACCATGGTCTAGTGGTCAAATCAAAATATGGTAAGTCTTTTATATTACCTACTTGTATTGATGTTTCCTACTTCTATTGACATACTTGCTACGTCAGTGGTTGTAGGGACACCATGGTCTAGTGGTCAAATCAAAATATGGTAAGTCTTTTATATTACCTACTTGTATTGACATACTTGCTACGTCAGTGGTTGTAGGGACACCATGGTCTAGTGGTCAAATCAAAATATGGTAAGTCTTTTACATTACCTACTTGTATTGATATTTCCTACTTCTATTGACATACTTGCTACGTCAGTGGTTGTAGGGACACCATGGTCTAGTGGTCAAATCAAAATATGGTAAGTCTTTTACATTACCTACTTGTATTGATATTTCCTACTTCTATTGACATACTTGCTACGTCAGTGGTTGTAGGGACACCATGGTCTAGTGGTCAAATCAAAATATGGTAAGTCTTTTATATTACCTACTTGTATTGACATACTTGCTACGTCAGTGGTTGTAGGGACACCATGGTCTAGTGGTCAAATCAAAATATGGTAAGTCTTTTATATTACCTACTTGTATTGACATACTTGCTACGTCAGTGGTTGTAGGGACACCATGGTCTAGTGGTCAAATCAAAATATGGTAAGTCTTTTACATTACCTACTTGTATTGATATTTCCTACTTCTATTGACATACTTGCTACGTCAGTGGTTGTAGGGACACCATGGTCTAGTGGTCAAATCAAAATATGGTAAGTCTTTTACATTACCTACTTGTATTGATATTTCCTACTTCTATTGACATACTTGCTACGTCAGTGGTTGTAGGGACACCATGGTCTAGTGGTCAAATCAAAATATGGTAAGTCTTTATATTACCTACTTGTATTTATATTTCCTACTTCTATTGACATACTTGCTACGTCAGTGGTTGTAGGGACACCATGGTCTAGTGGTCAAATCAAAATATGGTAAGTCTTTTACATTACCTACTTGTATTGACATACTTGCTACGTCAGTGGTTGTAGGGACACCATGGTCTAGTGGTCAAATCAAAATATGGTAAGTCTTTTATATTACCTACTTGTATTGACATACTTGCTACGTCAGTGGTTGTAAGGACACCATGGTCTAGTGGTCAAATCAAAATATGGTAAGTCTTTTATATTACCTACTTGTAGCACACGTGGTGTTTTATACAGAATGATTGTATTTATATATCGCACGAGGTGTTTTATAATACACCCTTGTATTGATATATCGCACGTGATGTTTTAAAATACACAATGGTATTGATATATTACACGTGGTGTATTATAATACACCCTGATATTGATATATTACACGTGATGTTTTATAATACACCCTTGTATTGATATATTACACGTGTTGTTTTATAATACATAATTGTATTGATATAGTCTATCACACGTGTTTTATAATACCTACTTGTATTGATAAATTACACATGGCGTTTTATAAAACATATATCAAACATGATTAGAGTTTTGGAATAACTAGTTGTAATATATATTCCAAAGATTTTTTCATAAAAAACGTTTTAATAACAAGCTTTTATGTACTAATGCACTAAAAAGGAGAAAATAAATTATACACAACTATTTAAATTACTATAAAGAAAAGCGTGGGTCACTTTACTGTCTATTGGATACCTTTACTAATAATTAGGAAGCGACCCACGCTTTTCTTTATAGTAATTTAAATAGTTGTGTATAATTTATTTTCTCCTTTTTAGTGCATTAGTACATAAAAGCTTGGTATTAAACCGTTTTTTATGAAAAAAATTTTTAGCACTATACATGTTTTATACAATAGAGTTGCATGACTAAAAACCATTCCGCGCCTATTGAACGTGATGACGCGCCTTTGCCTACTAATTTGGTCAAAATTTTAATTAATTCATAAAAAATTAATCAGGCGACCAATTAAGTCAAATTTAATGTCACGATGCATTGTCTTCATGTCTTGACCCACGTACCAATTACGAACCGTATCTGTAAGTTAGAAGTGCCTGCAATTTCGCACGGGCGTTTCGATCTAGACAGACAGACTGACGACAGACTGACGAGGAAGTGAGTTAAATAAAAGCTTGTTTGAATATATTTGTGACTATTTTAAAATTATGCAACGATTCTGACACATGTATTTTTATGCAAGTGTTTATGTTTCCCCTTTATTTAGTTTTTATTTTATTTCCACACATGCAGACGAGATTAGTACACCGTTTGGTGGTGGGGGCGTGTCTTGCTGTTGTCTTGAGTGACAGTTTGCTCCAGGCGTTCACCCTGAGGCAGTCGCCCAACAAAATTGTGACAGGCCTTACGAAAAATGTCACAGTCGAATGCTCCCTTCACACGGGGGATAACTCCGAAATTGCCAAGGTGAATTGGATACGAATCTTGAAAAAATCTGGGCAAGCTTGGACGGCATATGCCGAGTTGAGGGACGTGGACTCGTGTGTTGTTACTAGCGAGGCGACGGAGCAGACGAATGTTGGCGTCAGTGGTTACGTGGGGGCGGCCAGCGAGTCGTTTCTTAAAATCTCGTGGGAGTTCGCGACGGACGAGATTTTAGGAAGTTATCGATGTGATGTGGTTGGCCTTAGTAAAAATCAAGATTTGGTCGTTGTAAAAACTCCCCTAATCGCACTAGGCGTTGGGGAGATGTCGGCCAACCAGGTTTTTTATCACCTAAAAGACGCACAAGACAGTCTCGAACAGCGTCTGAGGTGGCTGGAACAAAACATCGGGAAGGATTTTACGACCGTGCTGAATAAAATTTCGGAGCTGTTTTTTATCATGAAGTCGGTGGACACGAGTCAGGAGACTCTCCTTGAGGTGGTGAACGGTCTACAGGCCAAGCAGGTCCAGTGCGATAGTCCTGACCTCAAGCGTAAAGACCAGGACAGCTTGAACGTCACCAGCTTCGATCTGGATATGTTTGAGATCACAGAGGGCGTGGTTGAAGCGCCCGTACGGAGGCCGGTTTTAAGGACGGATTTAAATGTACAGGAAGACCCGTCGAACGTGACGTCTGCTAAACTTGACGGCTGGCCTGGGGGGAGTTTTGCTTTGTTGATGCCTCGATCTGGATGCCCCGGAAACACGAGTGAGGTCACGTGGTTTGAAGGTCATTACAAACACCGCGAACCCAACCAAGAAAAAAGTCTGAAGTCTGAGGTGTCTGATATATTTTCAATTAAAGAAGATTCGGTAATTTTTTTCAACCTAAACTTTTGCGTGGCGTCGGATAATGAAGCAGAAAAAGCATGGCCGCAAGGATCGTACTGCATCAACCGCAACAACGGTACCTGTCCGGATGGGTTCACTTCCGGTTACGTCAAATTTCACCACAACTCCACCCAGGCGACCGCCTCGCACGACCCGGATGTAGAAATAAAAGAGGGCAGCACGTACATCCACTACTGTTGCCGTGGTGACGCGGCTCACGACGCCGCCATTCACCTCCCCCATGACGCCCCGTTCTATTTATATCGCTATGGCGGGAAATGTCAAACGGTGCATAACATACGGGTCGTGGAAGAAGAATTGACCGTCGACACTGAAGACGACAACAACAGCGATTCGTATGAAAACAATTCCCACCCCGACGGTAAACTAAATGACGTTTCCATTCGCGTCTGCTATTATTCAAACTAATACATCCAACATGGCGGGATAAATTAAATGATGTTTTCACTCATTTCAAGCTGTCGTATTCTGTCGAAAATGTAAATGTTTAATGAACGTTTGCCATTATTTTAAATGCCACTATTTTTCTTTTTAAAAAGACACCTTCAACCTCGTTGTCTAAGAATTAAACATTGTTACTCAACATTGTTGAGGCTAACACAATACGAAAGCTAACGAGAGATACTTTAATTCACGTCTACTGTTATCATGTATAACTATTTAATAATAATAAAAAAATAAAAATCCACGTCTGTGTCTTTGAATTTACGATGTGACTGAAGGTAGGCCAAACAGCGGCCACCCGGGGTACCAACTAACCCTCTCCCCCCCCCCCCCACACACACACAGTTGGTTTTTCATTCAGTTTGACTTTATGTGTGCAGTTGTTTAAAGCCTTTGCTTTCATTAAGAAGCATTCATTGCAGAAATTAGTTATGTATGTGAGTGTGTGTGTATATATATATATATATATATATATATATATATATATATATATATATATATATATATATATATATATTACAAATACAATAAAATTGAATATTTTAGATGAAATAACAAACACAATGTGAATTCATTCAAATAATTTATCTCCAAAAAAGAAGAAGTATTTGACAAGCAGGTGAAAAAAATATTTTTTGAAATTAAATTAAACGAAAGAAAACAAACAAAAAAAGAGCAAATATAAATAATAAAATGAAATAGTTTTCTAATATGAAAAAACCACACACATTTGAGACATTGAATGATAACAAAGTTTTGGTGGAACAGTAGGGGAGGTAATCAATATATTCTGTGACATAGGCGGATCTAGAAGTGAAGGGTGTTTGGGAAGGGGGGGAGTAGATATATATATAAATATATATTATGGTTAGGGGCAAGGCCTACATGCTCATAGCTGTACAAATAACATTAAGAAGAATCAAGACATGAACATCTGGTGTAAAATATGAACATTACAAACAAGCAAAAAAATTGTTAAATTTTGATGGGCCTTCATTTTTTCACCCTCCCCACCCCAACACACACAAAAGCAGTGCCTCACCCTAGATCCGCCTATGTTTATGTCATAATTAAAGATGGGTCACTTTGTACATCTCGCAATAATGAAACATTTAGATCAAAATTTTGTATATTTAAATTATAAGTTTCACTCGAAAGAAACACCTTACTTCAAACATTATCACTAACAAGTATGTGATATATTTATGAATTCTTTTAAACCATTTTCTGTCAACTTTAAAATCCACAAACTTTTGTGGAATTTGATTTACAATAACTATTTAATCACCAAAACACAAGTATCTCATCAAGTTAAAACAACTGGATCACAACTATATTATCTCTAAACCACAAATTTTTTACTCCCTTTAAAATAACTTTAAAAATTGTTTCATGTTATTAGTTATACAATCATTTGAAAATTCAACCATGCCATTTCTGTAACCATATCATTCAAGATTTTTTGAGTACCAAACTGAATTAATAACACATGAATTTCGCCAATTATTATAACTCTTTCATTCTAAGTCATATGCTGCTAAAAATATGTACATACTTGACAATTTGTATTTAAACTTAGGCCAAAGACAAATTTTAAATGGTTGATTAATAAATATATACAGTAACATTGCGTCAATGTAGGCCTATAAATAAATACAGTTCTTGAAATTAAGAGACAACTGAAAATTCTAATCCATGTTTATTTTTTAAAACAAATAAAAAGCTATTTAACAAGCTTCTACATGGAAAATACAGGAAAAAATGGCTAAGCTAGAAACATTTCTCTTGTTATATTACAGATAGCATTAAAAAAAGAAAGACAACATTTCTTTACATAAATATATTAAATAAAAAATCTAAAAAAAATCAATAGCTTCTGTCACACATCGGTGAAAAACAAAACTATAAATAGATTATCTTTCATTAACTATAGGACAGACTAGAGATTATTTATTTATGCCATTAACTATGCATCAGAACAAAAAATGTATGTTTTACATGTAATAATTCTAATTTTAAGTTTTAAATTCAAGAACTGCCTTTTATAAAATTTCATTTTGATTTTACTGTAAAATATTTTAAAACTAGCAGCTGTGTTTGATTTTGTGGTACAACAGTCAAACAATTTTGATTGCTATGAGGTAAAAACTGTATACATAAATTATTTGGCTTAGTATGTTCATACATGTTGTAGCTTTAAAGATAATAATGATTGTCTGGGAACTGAATCTAATGTTTTAAATTTTTAAGTACCATTAGGTTAATATTTCTAGCGTTCTGTATGAATCAACAAGTTGGAACACAGAATAAGTTTTAACCTAATCAAGCTGTGAGACGATGTTTACTATTAAATAATTCATACCATAGAGCCTCATGTTGGTCCTATGTTATAATTTTCAGTCCAGTGATTTGTGATATTAAAAGGGTTAATAAAAACATGTAAAACAATGAGAATGTTAAAAAAAAACATTCGGTAAATATATAACTTAGAAGAAGTTCTAAAACACGGATAAAATATAGATTAACAAACCTAAATAAAATAAAATAAATAAATGTATCAACGTACTTTTGGTTATCATTTAAATTTTTACATACGCCTAACTTGTAACAATTTTGTTTACTTGAACATTACAACAATATTTTTATTCTACATTTAATAAATATTAAAAAACTTTTTCTTCTTTAAACTAAATAAAATACTTTTAAATTAACAATGTAAACAATGAGATTCTATACAATTGTTCAAATCCTTCCTTGCCATTTAAAAAAAAAAATATTTGCAAGTGACACAATAATTAACAAAGTGCTTTTAGAATATCTACTAGGAGTGTCTGAGGCAAGTCTCTTAACTCAAAATTAAACTGAAATCTTGCCAGATAAAGTCTTCACAGAGAATATTTACTAAATATAGTAAGATGAGGAAAACCGAACATTAGGTTGCAAGTGACACATTAACAAAGTGCTCTTGGAATATCTACTAGGTGTGGGTGAGACAACTCTCCTAGGTTTTACAGACAACTCCAAGATCAAGATCTTACCAGATAAAACACTGTCTTCACACAGAATATTTACTAAATTAGTAAAATGGGGAAAACGGAACTTTATAGTTAATCCTAAAGAGACATTTTATAATTGTCTACTATTAATATTATTCATATTAACTTTATTTTAAAAAAATAACTGACTTAAAATACAAACAGATAAAATAGATTTGGTCTTCCCTATTAACTAAATAGTTTTAGTACATTAAGAAACTAAGTCACCAGCAAAACAAAAATAAAGTTTTATGTATTTACAACATAATTACCATAATCAATTTCAAGTATTACTATTGAAAATTCTATTGTTATTTCACCATAGAAAAACATATTTACATGGCATACCAAAGTAAAAGGTATTTACAGTAACCATTCAGGACAGAGTAGGGCATGCAAGTTGAGCACACAGAGACACAATGAACAAGCTGTGCAGATCAACACTTAGATAAATACTGGAAATTATTTATGCTTTAAAAACTTTGACTGGAATTCAAACAAAACAATGAATTCAGCTTTGACTTGATAAACAATTTTAGCTGATATTTTATAGTTTTTCTTCTCATAATTTATGATAATATATGAAAAGAAATAAAATTAATTTAAATTCCAAGTCATGCTATTGTGACCAATTAATAATACAATACAGATTTGTTTTAATGAAGGAGGAATCTTTAAATAAATAATGATTTATGAGGCAAACAATAAAATATTTGATATGTTATGAAGTAAAATATGTTATTTTTAATAACTTTTTTTAATAATTTATATCTGTAAAGCTACTGGTAAGCTAGCTACATTTTTAAAATTTAACTTTAACTAACCACATGACAGTTATTTGTTTCATTGACATTTACAAGTATTATTTTTGTTAAAATGAAAAAGTTCGTTTTTTTACTTTAAGAGGTAAAAATATCATTCAAAAATTAATGAATTAGATAGTACTTTCAAAATAAAACTGAATTAAGTTAAACATAAAGTTGAAGCACACACATAAAATTTAATTTTGACATAATTTGATGTGAATAAGTTTTAATACTTAAGATATATACCTCAAGGCTGAACTATTATTAATCAAGTATTGATCTAATGAGACAAAGTTCAGATGTCATATCATTGTGGTTCATGTTCTGAGATTTCTTTTTGATTCTCTGTGGATCACAGTACCATATCGAAAAGTTTAACCATTCTTCTAATGAAACAAAAGCGTTGACACTTATAAATCAGTTATATGGTAGGAACTAGCTGGTTTCTGCGGTAACGAGGAGGGGTGCTGACCAGGTGAAAACGCAAAATGTGACGCCGGCCTTTGAGGGAGAGGTGGGGGTGGCCCAGGGGAGGGGGACTGTTGCCCGTAGCTTGACCTGTATGGGCTTTCCATGCTATGATTAAAATTGTGACTGTTGTGGGTGGGAGCAGCAGGTGAGTACCCAGGCAGGTTTCTGTCAGGGTGCCCGGAGTTATCCATGCTGGAGAACACACTGTGAGCGGGGCTGGAGTGGTTGCTGTGTTGGAAGAGGTAGGCGTAGCCTTCGCTGGAGCGATGGGCGGGGCTGCTATGGTTGCTGCTGCCAGTCACGCTCCCCGAGGTGCTTCCGTTGTAAGGCGGGGGTGGGGGAGGCGCCCTGTGGGGGCTCTCACCTTGCCTGTGATTACACCCTAGGTCGTGATTCTGAAGATGGTTGTGGACTAGTGTTGGTGTGTTTGAATGAACCGGACTCCCGGGGAAGCTGCTCTGGCTACCCCCACTGCTATGGCTGCTCCCCATGCTACCCCTGGCCCTGATGTAACCCAAGTTGCCGTTGGACAGGCCACCGTCCATCTGAGCATTTAATCCTGAATGTCCATTATGCGAGTAACCGTTGTTTCCGTAGAGATGACCATCACCGTTGTGGCTACTGTTGCCCCCTGTCTGACCAATGACCAGAGGTGGAACTGTGCTCAGCCCCGCGTGCATGGGCATGGCTGAGTAGGGGTGCATCATGTGGGTGCTGTCCCCGTTACTGGCATCACTGCCCCGCCGTACCTCCCCACGGTTGTGGATGTTGTAGGTCAGGGGGTCAACGTAGAAGCTTTCATTAGGGAACTGGGCGTTGAGCCGGGCTATGTGGCAACTGTGGCAGAAGAGGTGTCCATCTAAGGGGTAGCAGCGCTTGTCAGCCTCGTCTGTTAGTTGAAGCCCACAGTCCTACAGCAATACAGAAAGAATTGTTACAATTTTTTCATAGAAATAACACATCTATTGAAGTTTTAAAAATAATCATTAAATCAAATAATTCACTGAAATATCTTAAACTGAAGTTGATATTTTTATTACCACTGCATTAATTAGTTCCCAAAAAAAAAAAAATACAATAAATATTTATGTAATGTCAAAATATAAACTTGGTTTATATTTTAACTATAAAACATTTGTTAAATTTAAAGATGAAGTCAACAAGTTTAACTTTAGCTGACTTTCGTTAGTGTTTAGGTATTAGTCTAGAGTACACCCAGCATTAGGGTTTACTTGTTAATTTTTATTATCTCTTACTCTTGTTAACACAGTTTGCATTTTTATGCCATTACTAAAAGCAAAAATTAATCATGGAGCTGGTTCAAGCGCTACTAATTTGGTATCCCAAACAAAACATTTGCAAACCAATAAACACTAGAAGTAAAAAGGGTAAAAGCAACAGGAGAAAGGTAGTATGTTAATTTTTTTTGACACTGAAAGTAGTCAGCAATGTCAACATGTTGAAATTTTCTACCCCATTTTGAAGACATGAAATGTTATCATTCATTTCTACACAGAGATTTCTACAGAGATTCAAGCTGCTTCAAAAATGCTACAATTTTCATGGTTTATGTTTTAAAACAGCTGTTGATGCACATCACAAACAAAATCAACATGGCATGAACATTTCCATTTTTTAAAATTACTGTTAAATTTACAACTCTGCATTGTGCAGTTAGTTGCACTACGATTAAAAGTTATTGGATTAGATGCTGTTATAGAAGGAAAACTTTAATTACTTTTAAAATAAAATAAGAACGAATAGGGACTAATTAATTAAGAACTAAGTTAATTAGGAATTTTCGGAAAGATTCAGTTTTACACTCCATTAATAAAATAATCAGATATGCTTGATCTGATTTTGTGGATGTTATCATGTCATTGTGGGACAATTTAAAAACGTGGAGTGTAAAAAAGATTCAAATCTAAACCCAAGGAACAATCACTGAGCCTACAACACACACAACTGGTTTTCTAGCAACAGGCCATAAGACTGAAATAAGGCAAGCACTGCAGGGAGAGTCATAATTCAACCAATCAAAAGAGGTTTACAAACTTATAATTCAACCAACCAAGAGAGGTTTACAAACTCATAATTCAACCAATCAAGAGAGGTTTTAAAAAAATAAAACAAGGCCAGCTTAGTAGATAAAGAAACTAAAATGTTTGAATGAGCATGTCAGGCTAGTCAACATGCTGGGTTAATGGGACTCCAGGAAATCTTACTTTCTCTTTTACTCAGTCGCATTATCGACTGGCTATTTTCTGTGTAGTGATAAAAGTGGACAATTATTTCATGAGATCATTTGAAGTTAGTTGTTGAGTTTAGATCTAAGTATAATATAAATCTGATGCCTGGATAATAAAATGTGGCAAAGAAATTCTTAAAACATTTTTATGTAATTTTAATTTTTTTAAATTAAAAAAAATTCAGAATTATTTGGTATAGAAAATAAATACTGCGCAAAAGTTATTGTAAGTAATAGATGTAGTTTAAGAAATTCAAACATGTAAACATGTAACTAATTAAAAAAAAATTAAATTTACAATTAACAAGAGTCAACATGTAAAATAATTTTTAAAATTACACTCTAAATATACACTTACAAATGAACACATAACTCTTTAAAACAGAAAAGACATTACTTAAAATTTGGAAAAAAATAGAACTAAAAAAAACCTAAGAAAGAAAGAAATTGTACCCACCTCACAGTGATAACAATCAACGTGGAAGTCTTTATCCATTGATACCACCCTAACAGTTTCTTCTGTACCCTGAGGGGATAAAGGTTAAATACAATTAAATACAATTAAATACAATTACACTTGTGTTATTTGATTTTTAACTGGGCGATATGACAAATTAACAACTTTATTAAACTGAACAATAAAATCAATTAAATATGTAATGCTTATCTAAACCATAATTAAACATTTTATTAGAAAAATAATAACCATGAATACCAATACAGATTTATGATAATTCTATAAATTGATCCAATGATTAACAACAATTGATTAATCCCTGTAGAAGCATTTATCACTTACATCTACAGGAGTGATGGCTTGTCCGCATGCAGCACATTTAGGTGCATACACCCTGAAGTTGAAAAAAAAGAAAGCTTAAGTTACTTACATCTTTTGAATGCATAAATACTTTACCATGAGTGTTTAAATTTCCTGTTTATTTAAAAAAAAACTTTTGCTATTTTTTTCCACAATCTACAATTAGTTAATTATGTTTAAAAATGTTTTTTGTACAGAATTTGACTTTGGAGCAGCAATTAAATTGAAATGTTAAAATTTAAAAGATGGCAACTGGTTGCTAATGGGCTAGGGATACAGAAAGAACAGCTGTTAAAGTGTGTAAATGTCAGGTGTCAATCATACATTTTGTGAAATTTTTACAAAATAATTACATTTCATGGAATATTATTATGCTTTACTTCACCATAAACAAAATATTTTTTCATTAATTTATTAAATGTAACTACACTAATTAACCTTGACTAAACTAGTCGAACTCATGACCTACCTGTGGTAGTCTGCCACACAATATATTTTGTTGTCTACATCTATTGTGAAAGGGACACCATCCAGGCACTCGTTGCAAATGCAACATCTGAAACACCCTGGGTGGTAGGACTTGCCCATAGCCTGCAGGATCTGCAAGTTTAATTGATTAAGTCTTCAATTCAGCAGTCGTTAAATTTAATTAACTTTGTTAAACATTTTACTTTATAAAACTGTTGTTAATTTTGAATGGCATTCTTGAAATACAGTATTGTTAGCAGGAAGGTTGTAACTATCAATTGTTGGCTAGGGCGGTAGACTGGTCAGTTGCTTGGTCAGCTGTATAATGGTCAGTTAAGTGCTTGTCAGCAACTGGAGTTTGAAAGTAACAACTGAGAGGTAAACATTCTAGTTAGCTTTGTAAATATCTACAAGAAAAGTGAATGTAAGTGTCGCACTTACCATTTCCATAATTAAATGGCCACAGACAACACATTTCTCTGCTGTCTGTTGAAAACCTGAATACTGTAGAAGAAAAATAAATTTAAAAAAATGTTTCAATTCTTTCCATAGCCTTGAAATTACATGTCGTGTAATTTTTTTTTAAAGGTAGGTAATAAAAATATGAATTTTGCTTTTTTAATTTACTCGATTGTTTCCCCTAGAATAGCTCTTTGACCTCATTCATATTTCTTAGCTTACCAGATAATCTTCCTCGCAGTATACTCGCCCATGGACATTGTAGAAAGCTTTGCCCCTCAGTGTTCTACCTGAAATTGATTTTTAAAAATAGCTGTTAGAATTGGGGGATATAGGTTAACCATAATTAATAAATCTAATGGAGTGAAATAATTCAAACGGGACACTGTGTTGTTTCCCTTGTCTAAAGCTCTCCACCTTTTAAGGTAAAATAAACTAGTGGTGTTTATGTTTTTATTTTGTCACAACAGAATGTTTACAAATAACCCACAAAGCACTGTTATAATTGGTATAAATTGTAGACTACTGTAAAACATATAATACATTTTTTGTGACTATTGTTTCATAAAGCGTATTGTTTTCTTATGGATGATTTTTTTTTAACTGATGTAGATCTATAGCCTAACTATTGTTAAATTGTTAGCTTCGTGTATCCCAACTTTCCTTCACTGTGTGTAGCCTCTACCACGTCTGCTAGTAAACAAACGATACACATTCTTCCGTAATTTACCGCACGTGGCGTCTAGTCCACCGGTTGTATACAAAGGAAAGTCGGGGTGGACGAAAATAGCATATCTATCAGCCGTATCTAAGACAAATAAGTAGGCCTAGGGGGGGGAGGGGGGCAACTTTTTAGATCTAGGTTTTAAATCTCCATACTTTGAATGCATTTAAAAAAATTAAAAAAAACCTAAGTTGCCTATCCTAAAGAAAAGCTATTTTAAAAAGACCGTTCTAGATTTAGAAAAACAGCATTAGTAAAAAAGAAATGTAAAAAAATAAGAAAACGAAATATCTACATAATTATTGCTCATTAAGGAAAGAAATGGTTATAGGTGAACGGATGGAACTAAATTGTACAGTAAAGAATTCTCTTTAGACCTAGAGATTTACTTAGCAGATGAAGTAGAGTTCAACTGTTGACCTCGATATATGAAGGGAAGGTGTGGGTCAGCGCTTAGCCCAGCCGCCTGTACTTTCCCTAACATGAGTTAGGTACCCATCAGAGCTGGGCAGGCTCAGGGACGTTCCACTGGCTTGGACCTGGATTCGAACTCGAGACTTTCGCTCTACCACTCTACCGCTTAGGTCGAATGTATAGTGCAGTTGTGGAAGTTTGCCTACTGCTTTAGACATTTTTTTTTTAAACTGCGTATTTGCTAAATCAATTCTTGATACTTTTGTTTTTTTTAATAATACACCAACTTATTCAAGGTATAGCAGATGAATGTTGCTAAAGTTTTGGCCAGATAAAGAAAGCTAACCCTACTGTCAGAGTGTGACAGATATGCTTGACTTAGAAACTGAGTTATTGTTAATAATACACCAGTCCAACGTTTATAAAAAAAAAATAAACTATTAGCTAGGGTTACCATGACACAGTATTCAGAGAACGAGAGTGTGTGTGAGGATTACACGAAAACCCCGGATGTGTAAACAGATTGAATCAGTACAACGATAACATGCGTGGTTTGTCAACAGTCCCCGAGACTCGCAGAGGGCGAGGGTGACTTATAGGTATTTGACGGGTGAACAGGTAAGGGTACTATAACCCCCACCCGCCCCGCGCTGGGTCTAATGTATCGACGGTAAAAAAAAAAAGGCGCGGACTGGTCAGACAGATCTTGACCAGACCAGCGATGTCAAGGATGACGATAAGGAGGGGGGGGGGGGGAGGGGGGGATAGTGAAACCAAACACCGTCGGTATGTCGGTCTTTGTCCAGTCCCATCAACGGTTAGTAACGTTTTTGGTCACTAAGAGGTCAACCATCTGGGGGGGGGGGGGGGGTAGGTCAAGCAAACGTCCAGCCATTTCTAGACCACTTTTCTCTGAGCAGCGCAAGTAACCCAACTGTCCGCGGAATTCCTAACATTCCTGGGTCTTATCTTATCTCGGCCCAAACCGTTCACTTAGCGGTATCTGCATTTGGTTGTAGCTCGGCATTAGGACTCATCGGGTTACTCCGCTTGTTTTGTTTCAGTATGAGGGGGGACATCATTAGTTCTCGTTGAGCAAAACAGAGGAGGTAAACAGATGTATGGGTGTGATTGGGAGAGGGTGTGTGAGGGAGAGAATGTGTGTGTGAGAGAGAGAATGTGTGTGTGCATACGTGTGTGTGTTTGTAAGAGGGCTAGAGTGTGTGTGTGTGTATGCGTGTATGTGTTTGTGAGATGGATAGAGTATGTGAGGGTCTGTTAGAGAGTGTATGAGAGAGAGATTTTTAGAAAGTAATAGTCGTTTAATGACATTCACTATTGTGAATGGGGGCGTTCATGTGGGGGTCATAACCCCCAACTCTCTCGCCTAAACCACTGTATATATGGGGAACAGGGCATTGCCCTAGAGTTAGGGCTAGTGCTAGGATCAAGGTTAGGCTTAAATCAATGTCTAGAGTTGGTTTTATTTTAGGGTAAGGTGAATTCTTAGGTTTTTTTTTGTCTTTGTCTTAAGGTTAGGATTAAGGTAATATATATAGGTATAGAGTTGGAGTGATATCAGGATTGTATCTTGGTGGATGGGGGGGGGGGGGGGGGGGGGTAATTCCCCAGGGGGGGTAATTGCTCCGGGGGAGAAATGTTCCGGGGGGGGGGGGTAATGTCCTGTATCCGTATATATGTAATGTAGAAATACATAGATAAAGACATATCTGACATATGGGAAAACTATGAGATATAAGAGTAGTTGTAAAGTTCAATAATTAAATAAACAAAACATAGCGTCAAACCGAGATTCCAGTAAACTATCAACTATCGTCAGCTACTAATGTTTTTCTTCCCGTAATAAACACGGTAGTCGGTGACGCAACGGCGCGCTGTTCCGCCTACGCCCTTGTGCAATGTGAAAAACGTGGTTAGAACCAGTGGTCACGCAGGGCGGTCAATGGCTAGGTGGGTGTTGACGTCACGTACACGGGCGTGGGCCGGTTGATAAACTAGAGCCACGTGTTTTCATTTCACGCTTAGGTTTTTGATTGATGACTTTTTTTCTTCGACAACACAAATTTTGTTTTTAGCTTCGGTAAGTTAGCCAGTCACACCTCATAAGAACAAATTTTAATTTAAATGATTATTTTAAACTACAATACTAAACACGCAAGTTCACGTCAGTTGTTTTCTTTATCTCCTGAGTTTCTTTCAGGCATCTCTTCGGGGGGTGGGGGCAGAGACCCCCCGAAGAAAGTCTACCGCCCCCCCCCCCAAATTTCAAGTGCCCCCCCGGAGAAAAGTCTGGAAGAAACACTGCTCCTGAGGTTGACTGACAGTATAATATGTTGTTTTGACCCGCCCATCCACACCCTACCATAGCAGATAATCGCGCCCTGTGTTATTTTCATCTCTTCCTAACTCCAGACCTTTCTTCCACCACACCCGTTCTATTACAACTAAACACTAGCTGTCCTGTATAACGTTAAACAGCCGGACAACTAAAGACTAGCTGTCCGGTATAACGTTAAACAACAGAGCAACAACTAAAGACTGTCTGGTATAACGTTAAACACCCGAACAACTAAAGACTAGCTGTCCGGTATAACGTTAAACAACCGAACAACTAAAGACTAGCTGTCTGGTATAACGTTAAACAGCCGAACAACTAAAGACTAGCTGTCCGGTATAACGTTAAACTGCCGAACAACTGAAGACTAGCTGTCCGGTATAACGTTAAACAGCCGAACAACTGAAGACTAGCTGTTCGGTATAACGTTAAACTGCCGAACAACTGAAGACTAGCTGTCCGGTATAACGTTAAACAGCCGAACAACTGAAGACTAGCTGTCCGGTATAACGTTAAACAGCCGAACAACTGAAGACTAGCTGTCCGGGATAACGTTAAACTGCCGAACAACTAAAGACTAGCTGTCCGGTATAACGTTAAACTGCCGAACAACTGAAGACTAGCTGTCCGGGATAACGTTAAACAGCCGAACAACTGAAGACTAGCTGTCCGGGATAACGTTAAACTGCCGAACAACTAAAGACAAGCTGTCCGGTATAGAGTTAAATAACCGAGCAACAACTAAAGACAAGCTGTCCGGTATAACGTTAAACAGCCGGACAACTAAATACTAGCTGTCCGGTATAACGTTATGACAAACAGCTGAGCCTGAAGACTAAGAATAGGCATCAATGTATTGACATCACGTATCAAAAGTTGGTGTTAACCCTTCTGTGGCCGATGAATTAGTTCCGGTACCCGCCGTGACCAATCTGGAATTCAGGTGGTTAACGCCCTGGGTTTGTATTCAGGTCATGACCGCCGCTCTTACCAGATTTTTTCGTTCTGTGTTCCAGCAAATCAAATATTGTTTACCTCAGAAGTTTACATATCCGTATCATAAACTATTTTTACATTGAATCATCAATCATTTATGAGTCTTAAAATTAAAGTCTTTATATCCGTATCATAAACTATTTAAGATTGTACTGTAGGTCCTTGGTTAATCTTACAATAAAGTCTACGGAACCGTATTATAAACTATTTTTATCATCAGTTTTGAACAATAAAGTCTTTATATCCATATCATAAAATATTTAAAATGTTAAAGCTCTCTAGGTTTCTACCATCTATGCGTATTTAAAGAAGTAATTGTGGCATAAAACGTATCTTGATTGACTTTCAATTTTTAATTCCATACATTTGATTTTCTTAGAAATTGAAAGTATTATGTAAATTACACTAAATACTGACCAGTTCTCCGTGAAGGGACGGGGCGGTTTACAGTACCATTTTACAACCAATGTACAACTTATTTGACCCGTAGATTTCTGACTTTAGAGTTCAGATAATGGTAATCAACATGGACATGATTGAAGAGCCAGGTCTTGTATGCACACAGCTTTAACATGAGTATGGAAATATTTCCTACACTGTTGACTTCAGCTTGTCAGATTTTAAAAAAACTTTTTGAGACACCGTGGGCTTTAAGCTGTGTTCTAAGTTATTGAACATACTCCTGTGAGTAAATTCAGACCATCACGTGATGCCCAGCTGGGTCAATTGTCCGATTATTCATTTACCGAAAAACTCGACCTCTTTAATCGGGTTAAAGTATCCATTTAATATACTATGAC